TGTCCCAGGCTCGAGATTCAGCCGCTGTTGAAACTGATCAGTGGCTGATTCCAGGAAGCTGGGGGCAGAGCAATTCTGCCTCCAGCTTCCTGTAGTCAGCCCCTGGTCAGTTTCAGCAGCAGCGGCTGAATCTGGAGCCAGTTCCGACTTACATACAAATTCAACTTAAGAACAAACCTATAGTCCCTATCTTGTACGTAACCCGGGGACTGCCTGTACTTTATGGCAGAGACTGGTAGATTCAGGGAGCTCACCCACAGGAAGCACAGAAAAGTCTGCCTCATGCTAAGGGCAGGTAGTGGTGAGATGCCCTCAGTATAGTACTGAGTATAGTTGGGAACTATAAAACCAATTTAGTTAAACCAGTGCAAATCCTGTGTAATGTAAACCACTTCATTTCAATGGAAGAGTGACTTATTGCCGTTTAGATTTAATTTATTCCTGATTCATTTAAAATAAACTAAAATAATCCTGGTTTATACTGGAAACAAAAGACATAAAAAGTGTCCTTGTAAGGTTTTGCACCAGTTTATAGCTGGGTTTGTCTACACAGCAGCCAGAAGTTACATGCACTGGGAGACAAACCCTAAATGGCTTTAAATCCCATCTTTCAATAAACCAGTATATCTCAAAGTGGTCCACAAAACCACTTTGAGAAACCTATTAACTGGCCATGCCTGTTTCTTTGAAATTTAATGTTGATAAATACAAAGTAATGCACATTGGAAAAAATAATCGCAACTATATATACAATATAATGGGGCCTAATTTAGCTATAACTACTCAAGAGAGGGATCTTGGAGTCATTGTGGATACTTCTCTGAAAACATCCACTCAATGTGCCACAGCAATCAAAAAAGCAAATAGAATGTTAGGAATCACTAAAAAAGGGATAGAGAATAAGACAGAGAATATCTTATTACTGCTATATAAAACCATGGTATGCCCACATCTTGAATTATGCATACAGATGTGGTCACTTTATCTCAAAAACGATATATTGGCATTGGAAAAGGTTCAGAAAAAGGCAACAAAAAGGATTAGGGATTTGAAACGGGTCCCATATGAAGAGAGATTTTAAAAACTGGGACTATTCAGCTTACAAAACAGAAGTTTAAAGTGGGATATTATAGAGGACTATAAAATCATGACTGGCGTGGAAAAAGTGAGCAAGGAGAAGTTATTTACTTGCTCCCAAAACATAAGAACTAGGGGTGACCAAATGTAATTAATAGGTAGTAGGTTTAAAACAAACAAAAGGAAGTTTTTCTTCACATAGTGCACAGTCAGCCTGTGGAACTCCTTGAGAGAGGATGTTGTGAAGACCAGGACTTTAACAGGGTTCAAGAAAGAACTAGATAAATTCATGGAGGTTAGGACCATCAATGGCTATTAGCCAGGATGGGTAGGAATGGTGTCCCTAGCCTCTGTTAGAGGTTGGAAATGGGTGACAGGAGAGGGATCACTTGATGATTCCCTGTTCTGTTCAATCCCTCTGGGGTATCTGGCATTGGCCACTGCTTGAAGACAGAATACTGGGCTAGATGGATCTTTGTTATGACTCAGTATGTCCGTTCTTATGTTCAATTACTGGTGCTGCAGCCACGGAATCTCGTGGTTCCTATTGGCTCCATTTCTCTCCGGCCCACACCTCTTCCTGTGGCTCTCCTTGGCTGCAAACGGCAAAATGGGCACCGGTAAGTAAACAAACCAGCGCAGCCAGTTAACGGGTTTCTCAAAGTGGTTTCTCAGACCACTTTAAGAAACGCTGCAATAAACCAGGGAATCACACCTTTCAATAATTCAGGGAACATACTCATGTAAGCAAGGGATTTAAAGGCTGATTGGCAGACTGCTATAACTCACCCGTACCATTACTGAAGGGTTAGCTGCTTATACTCAGCAACTCATAATATACACCTGTTGCCATTACATTATTCTAGGTAATTTTTGCAGGTGTTTTACATTTGCTCACTATCATTTTTCTCTTTTTCTGAGCCCTGTAGTGGTAGATTCTTGGTAACTAAATAATTAGCACCTGCTGCCAGGGACATCCAGCCTGGCAAGAAAAGGTCCCAATAATATTTTTTTTTTAAATTCTCAAAAACATTCTTGTAACATCTGCGGCTTGCATGTGTGGCACAGAATATATGTCAGTGGGTGTGGGAGACAGATTTTAGCACTCATAGGGATTGACCTACGTAACTTACAACTCATTATTTATTATTATTCTGCCTCAGCCTTCTCAACAATGCAAATGTTTCCTACAATCAAATTTCAGCTTGGTGTAATGCTTAGAAGCCATAATCTGTCAGTAAAATTAAAATCTTGTCTGTTTGTCTATTGTGAATTTAAATGCCATAACAGAAATTGGACCACAGATGTCACGTTCACTATTATTATCAATGTAGCTAGTTAGTGCAGTTGGGTGCAAGCATTTGATATGGGTTCCTGCTTCAAGGACCTCATGATCTATGGCCTTTATCCTGCAATTTTGCAGATTGATCCCTGTGTCTGTGCGGAGCTCCACTGAAGCAGTGGATCAGAGTTTGAGTTCTGGCAAAGCTTTAACACAGTCCTGTGCTCGTACAGCCTTTCCTTATCAATGTAGCTAGTTAGTGCAGTTGGGTGCAAGCATTTGATATGGGTTCCTGCTTCAAGGACCTCATGATCTATGGCCTTTATCCTGCAATTTTGCAGATTGATCCCTGTGTCTGTGCGGAGCTCCACTGAAGCAGTGGATCAGAGTTTGAGTTCTGGCAAAGCTTTAACACAGTCCTGTGCTCGTACAGCCTTTCCGT